CGGATATCTCCTGACCAGTGAGATTTGCTGGTGAGATACCTAAACCTCTGTTGTCGTTACTACTTCATTCATACTCCCAACTTCAACTCTAAAATAGGATCATCCATCCTTGTAGAAACTGGAGCAACTACAAAGTGGAGTGATATGGGTGGGTTCTTTTTTTGGGGGTGGGAATAATCATGTAACCATGCTTGGCACAATGTATGAAAGAGAATTGCTGCTAGGCCCAGGAGATATGGGGTCATTCCCCTTTAAGAACACACCCCCAGCCTTGACATCATTGCTCATATTTGGCCAGAGAGAACAGGGCTTCCCAAGAAGAACTGGGTGCCCCCCAGGTGTTCTGGAGTACATTTCCCATCAGCCCCTGCCCTGCCAGTGATTCCTTCCATCAGGCTCCATTACAGCCCCCCTTGGGTGTGCCAGTCCAGAGCTCAAGCGTGGATAGACTGACCAGTGGATTGGATGAGCTGCAATGGAGGGCACATTATGGCACCCTTCAAAGACCACTTGTGTGTGTTCCACACTGAAGAAAATAAAACTTGGACACCCCCCCCCCGCCGGCAATCTGAATTCTGCCTATGAAGTATGTATCTTAAATTATGCTGCAATGTTTCCTACTTTGCATTATATATACACACACACACACACACACACGTGCGGGTGGTGGTGTGGGTTAAGCCGCAGAGCCTAGGACTTGCCGATCAGAAGGTCAGCGGTTCAAATCCCCACGACAGGGTGAGCTCCCGTTGTTTGGTCCCTGCTCTTGCCAACCTAGCAGTTTGAAAGCACGTCCAAGTGCAAGTAGATAAATAGGAACCGCTCCAGCGGAAAGGTAAACGGCATTTCCGTGCGCTGCTCTGGTTCACCAGAAGCAGCTTAGTCCTGCTGGCCACATGACCCGGAAGCTGTACGCCGGCTCCCTCGGCCAGTAAAGCAAGATGAGCGCCACAACCCCAGAGTCGGCCACGACTGGACTTAACGGTCAGGGGTCCCTTTACCGTTACACACACACACACACACACACACACACACACACACATATATAGAAAGAGAGAGACAGACAGACAGACAGACATGGGAGGGGCAGATGAGAGCTGTTTCAAGGGTTTTGAGACCTCCATTTACTAGATAACTAATTCAGCCAAAGCAGTCCTCTGCATCCTTAGGTAAAGGGACCCCTGACCTAATTAGGTCCAGTCGTGGCCGACTCTGGGGTTGCGGTGCTCATCTCACGTTACTGGCCAAGGGAGCCGGCGTACAGCTTCGAGGTCATGTGGCCAGCATGACAAAGCCGCTTCTGGCGAACCAGAGCAGCACATGGAAACACCATTTACCTTCCCGCTGGAGCGGTACCTATTTATCTACTTGCACCTGACGCGCTTTCGAACTGCTAGGTTGGCAGGAGCTGGGATTGAGCTATGGGAGCTCACCCCATCACGGGGATTCGAACCGCCGACCTTCTGATCGTCAAGCCCTAGGCTCTGTGGTTTAACCCACAGCGCCACCCGCATACCTGGGAGTAAATCCCATAGTAGCAAACCAAGTGGGCGAGATGGCAGGAAGAGTGATCACCGTATGCAACCCCAGACGCTGTTGCCCAGTGGGTGAGCCTTCCTTCTGTACAGGAAATGCTCAGGTGCGTGTTGTCAGCCGCTCAGATTCCTGCAGGCGTTTGCCAGCGAAGTCAATAAGGACTAGATACTTGCTTGCCCCCACACCTCGTTCATTCCCCTTTGTTGTGGTCCTGCAGAATCGCAATGAAGACGCGGACCTGCTTGACCTTGTTTCCAGGGCAACCTGAACCAGAAGGCGCAGGTTACTCCTTAGAAAAGGCGCTTTATTTGTAAACGGGATCCGGGGACAACGGTGTTTGGACAACATTGAGAAATGGGAGCTGTGTGTAATACATGCCGATAGCACGATAGCCCCCAAAACGCTTTGATCGTGGCGTTGGTCGTCGGTACAGCGAGAGCTCACGGAAATGAGTACAGATAAATAATTCTCTCTGAGATGACGCTGGGCATATTTCATTAGGCTCCGGAAATGGTCTTAATAGTGTAATATTCCTGATGTAGGGTTTCTTGCACTGTTCCCTAATAGGCACATAACCAGATTTATGCCTTTTGTAATTCCTCGTCTCTCCTCCCCCTCCTTGCTTCTTCTTGGGTGTACACTGTTTTATGATCTGCAGTGATAGTTCAGCAAGGTTTTATTGTTTTGTGTAGTTTATTCTGCTTTTGCTGATGGATTGAGGGTGGGTAAGGATAAGCGGGATGGCTTAGGACGCGGGTGGCGCTGTGGGTTAAACCACAGGGCCTAGGAATTGCCGATCAGAAGGTTGGCGGTTTGAATCCCCATGATGGGGTGAGCTCCCGTTGCTCGGTCCCTGCTCCTGCCAACCTAGCAGTTTGAAGGCACGTCAAAGTGCAAGTAGATAAATAGGTACTGCTCCAGCGGGAAGGTAAATAGCGTTTCCGTGCACTGCTCTGGTTTGCCAGAAGTGGCTTAGTCATGCTAGCCACATGACCTGGAAGCTGTACGCCGGCTCCCTCGGCCAATAAAGAGAGATGAGCGCTGCAACCCCAGAGTCGGCCACGACTGGACCTAATGGTCAGGGGTCCCTTTACCTTTACCTTTACCTTTAAGGATAAGCAGCGGTTTGCATTCTGGGGCAGGGTGGTATAGTGGTTAGCGCATCAGACTACTAGGACCTGGGAGATCAGGGTTCATATCCCCACTTGGCCGTGTAGCTCACTGGGTGTGACTTTGGGCCAGTCACTGCCTCTCTCAGCCTAACCTACCTCGCAGGATTGTTGTGGGATTGAAATAAGGATGGGGTTCGAAATTAGCAGGGCGCCAGGCGCATTTTGCACCTAAAAGATTAGCCATTTGCGAGCACCTCAAAAAGTCTGGGTGCTTTATTTTTGCGCCTGGCTGACACTCAAGGATTACTGAAATGTGTTTTGAAGCCTCAAAGTATATGTTAAGGACAGACGATACGTTAAGGAGTTTAACAATAAAACACAGAGTGTTTTGTAAGGTACCAATATTTTTATTGTAAACAGCAAGTTAGGTAAAGGTAAAGGGACCTATTTATCTACTTGCACTTTGACATGCTTTCGAACTGCTAGGTGGGCAGGAGCTGGGACTGAACAATAGGAGCCCGTCCCGTCGCAGGGATTCGAACCACCAACCTTCTGATTGGGAAGCCCTAGGCTCTGTGGTTTAGATCACAGTGCTAGCCGCGTCCCACGTATCTGGGGTATCTGGGGGTAAGGTAAAGGTAAAGGGACCCTTGACCATTAGGTCCAGTCGTGGCCGACTCTGGGGTTGCGGCGCTCATGTCGTTTTATTGGCCGAGGGAGCCGGCGTGCAGCTTCTGGGTCATGTGGCCAGCAGGACTAAGCCGCTTCTGGTGAACCAGAGCAGTGCACGGAAATGCCGTTTACCTTCCCACTGGAGCGGTACCTATTTATCTACTTGCACTTGACGTGCTTTCAAAGTGCTAGGTTGGCAGGAGCAGGGACCGAGCAACGGGAGCTCACCCTGTCGCGGGGATTTGAACTGCCGACCTTCTGATCAGCAAGTCCTAGGCTCTGTGGTTTAACCCACAGCACCACCCGTGTCCCTAAACAGCAAGTTAAACATGCATTAACAATTTCTGCTAAAAATGTGATATTAACAATGTGTCACTTAGGTGAATTGCTTATTAGTTCATGCTTATCAAAATAATAAATAAAAAGTGTTGCCGCCGCCCCCCCCCCCCCATGGCAACTGGATATTCTGTTTTGGCACCCATGACCCAGGTCCCAGAAGCCATTTGACTCCCAACTCTTCTTTTTTAAAATATTTTTTTATTGATTTCTCCATGTATACTTCTTCTAACAACATATCTTTGACAATGTTTCATATTTCCACCCTCCTCCCCTGGACTTCCCTCATACTCCTGTTTTGCTTTATTTCCATATTGTTTCCCCAAAATTTCCGCAATACATATAGTCTTATTTTTTGTTGTATACAGTTGTGATTGTTTACTCAAACCCTGCCAATGAGTCCATTTCTTTATGTTGCCTCTTCGTATATGTTGTAAATGGTTCCCATTCTCTTTTAAAGTCTTTGTTGTCCTTTTCATGTAGTTTTTCTGTTAGTTTTGCCAGTTCTGCATACAGTGGTACCTCGGGTTACATATGCTTCAGGTTACAGACTTCGCTAACCCAGAAATGAAGAATTTTGCTTCAGGATGAGAACAGAAATTGTGCGGCGGCAGTGGGAGGCCCCATTAGCTAAAGTGGTGCTTCAGGTTAAGAACAGTTTCAGGTTAAGAACGGACCTCCGGAACGAATTAAGTTCTTAACCCGAGGTACCACTGTACAGTCGTCAAAACAGAATGCCTAATTGCCATTTGGGGGCCAGACGACTCAAAAGTCATGTTTTCCAGTACAACCTTTTGGTTCCTGAAATTCAGTCTGATTGTGCAGATTAAATATAACAGATAGAATTCTACAGGATGGATTGCTTGTGTGTGAAAACAGTCCAGACCTGAGGATCCCCAGACAGGCCCCTCAGTCCTGGCACTGGACATCTTCACATGGTCGCAAGTGGCCGATAGTCAGGTGCAAAACGGGCCTGGCTCCTGGGGAATTTCAAATCCTGGTAAAGAGGGATGGATTGTTCACTACTGGGACTTCTGTCTCACCCCGAGGCCCGCCTAGTTCCGTCCACCCAGCCAGATGTTTCTGGGAAGCCCCCAAACTGGTTATGTAGGCAAGAAGCCAATGGGCAGAGATTGTGCGAGCTGTGGACCAGCAACACCTGGAGGGTGACATATTGCCTGCCCCTGCTCTAGAGCAGGGATCCGCAACCTTTTTCAGCCGTGGGCCGGTCTACTGTCCCTCAGACCATGTGGTGGGCCTGACTATATTTTGAAAAAAATAATGAATGAATGTCTATGCCCCACAAATAACCCAGAGATTCATTTTAAAGAAAAGGACACATTCTACTCATGTAAAAACACGCTGATTCCCGGACCATCTGTGGGCCGGATTGAGAAGGCGATTGGGCCGCATCTGGCCCACGGGCCTTAGGTTGCCTACCCCTGGTCTAGAGGTCTAGTGCATGGGCAGGCAAACTAAGGCCCGGGGCCCAGATCTGGCCCAATTGCTTTCTAAATCTGGCCCACAGACAGTCCGGGAATCAGCGTGTTTTTACATGAGTAGAATGTGTCCTTTTTATTTAAAATGCACCTCTGGGTTATTTGTGGGGCATAGGAATTCGTTCATTATTTTTTTCAAAATATAGTCTGGGCCACCATATGGTCTGAGGGACAGTGGACTGGACCCCTGCTGAAAAAGTTTGCTGACCTCTGGTCTAGTGCCTCTCTCTGTACAGAGGGTCTATTTTACCGTACTTCAAGTCATGTGCATCTCTGTCTCCCTTGCCCATTTTGGGAGGGGTGTGAGTGTGTGTGTGTGTGTGTGTGTGTGTGTGTGTTTGTCAAACGTTGAAGGGCTTGGGTGTGTTTTTTCCTCTGTGTCTTGGAGGAGTCTGGAAGCGCCTGACGGAATGTTTTCATTGTTTGGAATCTTAGACCTTGAAAAAGTGGGATGTTGATTAAAACATTATCTCTGCGTGATATACCAGAGTGCATAAATTTTACATACATATCAGCTAGTTGAGACATCCATTAAATGGCGTGACAGCTCGACTTATCTAAACGTGCTATCATTTAACAATGTGTCAAAATTCTTTATCCTAGATGACAGTGGTAAATAAGCTATCACTTCCATTAACTTTGGGAAAGTTGGGGGGTTTGTCCTTAAAATGGGAAACGAGAGAGATAGAGAGCGAGCGCAACCTTTGCCAGCCTGGTGCCCTCCAGATGTTTGGGACTACAATTCCCATCAGCTCCAGCCAGGGCTGATGGGAACTGTAGTCTACAACTCCTGGAAAGCGCTAGGTTGGGAAGGTTGAGATAGAAGAGTCACAGTCAGAAGGACTGGTTGGGTCCCCTTTTTCAGGAGTGAAACTCCTGGAGGCTTTGTGGAATAAGCTTCCCACAGACTTTCATCTGGTACCATCTTGGTGGTCTTTTTGGTACCAGGTAGAAACCTTTTTCTTGCCGATCGGAAGGCCGGCAGTTCGAATCCCCACGACGGGGTGAGCTCCCGTTGCTCGGTCCCAGCTCCTGCCCACCTAGCAGTTTGAAAGCACGTCAAAGTGCAAGTAGATAAATAGGTACCACTCCGGTGGGAAGGTAAACAGTGTTTCCGTGCGCTGCTCTGGTTCGCCAGAAGCGGCTTAGTCATGCTGGCCACATGACCCAGAAGCTGTACGCCGGCTCCCTTGGCCGATAAAGCGAGATGAGCGCCACAACCCCAGAGTCGGCCACGACTGGACCTAATGGTCAGGGGTCCCCTTTACTTTACCTAGAAACCTTTTGATTCGCTCACGGCTTTTAAATGACTTACATTCTATAGCCTGAACCTCTCTGTTTTAAACTGGGCTTCTAATTCTTTCCATTTAATGAATTTGTTACAGTTTATATTGTATTACCATTTTTCTTGTTTTGGGAGCCTCCTGGAGAACTCTTGTCACAGAGCAATATAAATGTGGAAAATAAATGTAGACCTTGCAGCAAATGTGCTTATTTGAACCCAGATTTCTGAATCCATGTCCCAAATTCTAACCTGTTACATCATGCTGGATCTCTTTTGAGTGTCCCCCTGTCTTCCAGCAGAGTTGGTTTATGCAGAGTAGGGGTGGGGAATAGTTGACCCTCCAGATGTTGCTGTACTCTTAACTCCCATCAGCCCAATAGATGATGGGAGTTGGAGTCCAGGAACATCTGGAGGAAGGAGGGTTCCCCGCCCTGGGTGCAGAATGGCAGGGGGGTTCTGCTGTACCACCGTAATTTGACCAAAGGTTAGTGGCTGGGCTGGCTTCCTATCTCTCTTTCGCTGTTGGGAAAGAAACTGGGACAGTGAAGGTTTCACCCAATTCCACCTCCCCCTTTATTTCTCCTGTTTCCTGTGGTTTGCATAATTGAGACTCCACCAGATCAGATCCCTGCAGAAGACTACGAGGGTTTCCTCCCCCAATTTTATCTTTAGTACAGGCTGTTCTTACTTTAGAAACGGATGACCCCAATTGCAGCCCAAAGAGGGACTTCTTTCCTAATTAATAAGCCCATTAATTAATTGTGTGCACACCACAGCCCATTAAGAGATGGGGGCTGGCTGGCCTGGAGATGGAGGTTAGTGGATTCTTTCTGCAGCCCAGCAGACAAAACGGGGGTGCCGCCATGGAGGGGTGTACACAGGAAGCTGCTTGAGGTTGAGTCAGATGGCTGGACCCTCTAGAGTTGTCTAGGCTGATGCACGAGAACTCTCCCAAGTCTCATCTAGAGGGTCTTTCCAATCTCCTGTTACCTGAGTTGCTGGCAACTGAGCCTGGGACCCCCTGTGTTCAGAGCCTGTGCCTTGCCACTGAGCTGTGTGGTCCTGCGTCATAAACCTCACTGCCACAGTTTCATAGAGGTGTTAGAATTCCTGCTCCATGATTGCAGTCATGGGATTGTTGTCTATCACATGATGGTGTATGTTTTCATTCCACAGAGTGGGAAGTGACGGAGACAGGATGTTTGTGTTACTGTGTTCCGTGAAGTGGGACTATTGTCCTTTGTTCTTTCTCTTTGCTGTCTGATGCTAGAGAGAGAGGGAGCCATGTTGCAGTGCTCCGTGTGTGTTTATATGTAAATAAAGTAGATTAGCCAAAATGCTGAGTTGCTGAGGTCTGTTACGCAAACTGCGAAGACTCTGCGGATCCCTAAGTGTGCCGGTGTCTGTTGGCATCGGTTGCTGTGATGTTCAGGCAGAATAAAGATTTTGAAGCTCCTGAACAAACGACCAGGAGGGAGAGAACATGCCAGTCGGGCATGTGTCTCTGCCAGGGTCCTACTCAAGTGTAGGACGAGCTCCTGACAAGAGGATTCAGCTTTTAATTCCGCTCCCCATTAGCCACAATGGCTATGCTGTGCAGGGAATGCTTCTGAATACCAGGTGCCGGAAGCTGCAGAAGGAGGTAAAGGTAAAGGGACCCCTGACCATTAGGTCCAGTTGTGGCCGACTCTGGGGTTGCGGTGCTCATCTCGCTTTATTGGCCGAGGGAGCCGGCGTACAGCTTCTGGGTCATGTGGCCAGCATGACTAAGCCACTTCTGGCAAACCAGAGCAGTGCACGGAAACACTATTTACCTTCCTGCTGGAGTGGTACCTATTTATCTACTTGCACTTTGACGTGCTTTCGAACTACTAGGTTGGCAGGAGCAGGGACCGAGCAACGGGAGCTCACCCCATCGCAGGGATTGGAACCGCCGACCTTCTGATGGGCAAGTCCTAGGCTCTGTGGTTTAACCCACAGCGCCACCTGCTCTAAGGCTATAAGCTATAAGAAGGCTGTGCATAGTAGAGCAATGCATATACATATATGCATACTTAAGTTTCTAGACCCGAGGAGGGAAAGCTGCTAAATTTGCTCAGGTCCTGCGTTTGTGTGGCCACTGTGATGCTGGCCTTGATGGGCTACTGACTTGTTCCAGCAGGCTCTTCTTAATGACCAATGGGAATTGGAGTTCAGAGATACCTGGGCTGGAGAAGGGAGGTCTTGACGCGGACCTTCGACTGCCTGATTCAAGTGAAGCAGCTCTTCTGCTGCTATCTGGAGAGGACAGATGCAGGAGAATTCGTACGATGATGCATCAGAGCAGGAGGCGAGGGAGTCACTCTGGGGAAAGCGGAACATTTTCTTCACTGCTCGTCAGAGGCTGTCTTAACGTGAGGCTGCCGTTCCTTCGGATCCTGGGCCCTGGAGTTGGGCCCAAAGTTCCAAAAATGGCAAATGACATTCACGGTCAAAGCCAAGATCTAAGATGGCAAGCAGAGAAACAGAGAGGAAGTGCTTAGGCAGTGTCCTCATACCCAGGACGGATGGCTCAGACTGACAGGCAAGCTCAGGAGACAGTGTTTTATAGGGCCTAGCGCACAGTGCTTGGTCCTTGAGAACCAGCTCAATTTGTAAGGGGTAAGGGACGTGGGTGGCGCTGTGGGTTAAACCACAGAGCCTAGGACTTGCCAATCAGAAGGTCGGCGGTTCGAATCCCCGCGATGGGGTGAGCTCCCGTTGCTCGGTCCCTGCTCTTGCCAACTTAGCAGTTCGAAAGCACGTCAAAGTGCAAGTAGATAAACAGGTAACGCTCCGGCGGGAAGGTAAACGGCGTTTCCGTTTGTTGTTCTCGTTCGCTGGAAGCGGCTCAGTCATGCTGGCCACATGACCTGGAAGCTGTACGCCGGCTCCCTCGGCCAATAAAGCAAGATGAGCTCCGCAACCCCAGAGTCAGTCACGACCGGACCTAATGGTCAGGGGTCCAGCCCAACTGCTGGATGCCTGGGTTCAAAATCTCACCGTGGCACCTTACGGAAGAAAAGTGAAGTAGCCCCAACCCATGTACCATAAAGGGGAGCAGGTTGAGAGTTGGACAGGTCTGCACCACAGGTACACAGTCCACTAACTCTCTTTTTCCTGCCTGGTCACCTGGAGAGAGTTTCTCCTCGCCAAAGGCAACCAGTTCAAGGGCTGTTTGTTTGGAAGTGAATCCTAAGTCATTCAAGCACCTCCGAAACCAGGTCTTGAAAATCTGAGTTTGACTGAGGAAAAGTAGGAACATAAGGTGTTAAAATAAATTTTGAATCTTGCTGTGTGAAGCTTGGGGGTGGCGGGGTGGCGCTGAATTGCTTTGGCAAAGAGTTGGCCAAATGGTGAGGGCCAGCTGGAGGCACCTTATGAGAGGCATATGCTCAACCAAGGAACCTTATCCTAGCGCCTGCACCTCATTCACTGTTCTTCCCCATATGCTTGGTAAATGAGCTGGGTGGCCCCTTAGTCCTTCCTTCTTCCTCCTCTTAGCCACAGAGGCTTAAAAAATAAATAAATGCAGGTATTATCCAGGCATTCTCAGATCCCTGAGCTAATTCTGTTTTCCCCTGCCGAGCATAAAGCTTTTTGATCGTCAGCTTGCAAATTGTGATTTTATTATTATTATTATTGCTATTTTAAAAAGGTTTAAATTCCTTGCTTTTTTTAGCATAAGATCCTTAGTTGTTTAAGGGAAACATGTTTCCACGTTCACTGCGCTGCGCATGGGTTTCAGGGACCTGTGGGG